TTCATTACAAATTTACAACTGGCCTTATCCTACTAAAAGGCCAAAACTCACTATGTTCATCGAGCCAACCATAATTACAATAATGGGAGTTAATCGTTAACGTTTTCGTCTCTGCCAACTGACGTTCTCATCTCCGCTATGAACACCACATCCACTTCAAACATCTCGGTTCCTTTCACATTTAACTAAGGAGTATTCCTCTGCTTTCTCTTCTTCATGTTCTTGCAGTTTTTGAAAAGACAGAGTATTAATCAACGTTTGTTCATCCTTTATATTTCGTATTACAGTGTATGTGTTTCTCTATCCACATATCTATAAAGATAAGTTTTTTGTGTTTAAGAGTGGTTAGTTTAGTGAATTTTTATGACTCTAGAATATATACTTCAAGAGAGAAAAAATAGGAAACGACACTTATGCAGAACGTAGTGCAATGAAAGAGTATTGTAATAACAGAGAATGAATTTAAGACATAAAGACATCAGAAGATGAAGAAGCCTCTCGAGGGAAAACAATTTAATCGTTTTACCTTTTGGTTCAAGTCACATATTTTGTTTTTTAATACATTTGGTGGCTCGTGTTTTTTTTTTTGTGGATTCTGCATGATGATGAAATCAAACTGAAAAGGAAATTACTTCGTCTTAAGCAGTTCAGTGTTGATGTTGCTGCTGCTCATTGCAAACTTGATTCTTTGTTTCTAAACTTTATTAAAGCACACACAAGGAACCAGTCACATCTTTCTTATGGATTTCTCTTTGAATTGATTCATGGAGATTGTACTGAATATAATCCTTTCATTTGTGGTTTTTGTTTTAAAATATGGATACAATATTCTATGTTCGTATTCAATGGCTTTGATAAGACTGTCAACCATATAAAAAGAATATATTATATGTTAATAAATATTTCAAAAATACACAAGGTCAATATTGAATATTATTTTTGCACAGATTTATAATAAAAGTAAATGTTGATCTATTGAACTATTGTGACGATAACATATGTATAAAACATCTAAATTTTACATAAATTTATAAATTTCAGTTACTTTTTTATATGATATGGGACTCATACTTTCTAACTATGAAAATTTAGTGATTCTAATAATTTCTATTTATTGCATGATCCACATGATAACAAAAAAAAATAGACAAATCACAGAGAACAAAGAAATTCTTTTGTTGCTATTATATAAGGAGCAACTGTGGATAAAATTATGAATTGAGTTTCATACAAAAACAAATAAAAAATTATATATAGAAAATATTGATAATATATTTAAACAAAATAATTGGCTTATGCAGCTGATATTTGTTTTGTGGAAATTTTCAATGCTATAAATCTTTGATCCTATCAATCTCCAACTCAACGGAGCCGATGAAAATGTTGAAACACCAACTTTAAAATAACATCATGGTTTCTAGCTTTCTTTTCCTCTACATAATTTTTTAAAATAATTACCAATATAACCTCTAAAACTATATAGAATCACAATCGATCTGCAAAACATGTGTGCGGAGTTTGTAAGTTATGATCGAGACAATTTTTAAAAACTCATATCAATTCGTTTTTATTTGAAAATGTCAGTGAGATTGCATGTAATGCATATGGTGAAAAATTGCATTATTAAATGGCACACTTGAATTAGACTTTATCGATGGATTACATATATCATTTGTGAATAATTATCAATTTTAATTTTTTTTCTAATTCATTCAGATTTCTAATTTAGCATAAATAAATAAAAAATAACAGAAATATAATAACATATAATTATTAAATTATTTTTGAATTCTAATGTTTGATTTACTAAGCATTTGTAGTCCACACCGTGTGTGGACACATTAGCTAGTATTAATATTTATTAATTTAAAAAAACGGATAAACACGTGGATCTTTAGATCCGACCCACTAAATAACACGTGAATCTTTTATACCCAACTAATATAATTTGGATTCTTTTATTTTTGTTTTGAAAAGTATATAATTAATTACAAATATATTCACAAATTCAAAATCTCCATTAAATTTAGAATAATCAAATTAATGCAAATCCAAGAAAATTATAAACAATAAATGAAATATTAAGATTGAATAAATTTTAAAATTAAAGAAATATATTAAATTTTTTTACCACCATCCTTATTTAATTTTAAAATGTATGCATTTATTAGTTAAAATTAGTTTTATAATTAAATAAATTAAAAACAATAATCAAATATTTGCAGGTTTGGTTCTGAAATTTTAAATAAATAAAAATAAGTTAAGAAATATCTTTAAGATCTGATTTTGAAATTTAATAAGTTTCAAGTACAAGAAAGAAATTTAATTTCAAATACTTAAAAAATATAAACAGTATAAAAAAATTAGTTAATAAGAAAAATTGTATTTAAATATGCAAATCTACATATCTCGATATCCCTAAATATATTTAATAAGAAAAATATATTTAATTATTAAGCTATTAAGATATTTTTGTTTCCTAAAATGGAGGGATTATTGATTATGATATCATCTATTTAATATTTTTTCCTAAGATTAAATCTATAAAACTTAATTATGTGTTGTATATACTATTTGAATCTTTTTCAGCAAGTCTTTTTAATTGTTATATCTCTTAAATCTTTTAAAATATTTTTAAAATTATTGTGTTTTCTTTTTTGTTGCCATTAATGACGTTATTAATGATTTTGAAAACTTTAAAATATTTGAACAATAAGTTAAGATTCGTAACAATAATTTGGATATAAAATCTGCATCTAACCAATGAATATTTTGAGTTTCTTTAAAAAAATTGATAAACCTAAATTTTTTTTATGTATGCTTTCCTCCTTATAAATATAGGATTCTACCAATGTCAGTTTCACAATTCTTATCTTTCTGCATATTTTTTTACTTTTGTATGGCTACTAATATTTTTTATTTAACTCTCTGTAGAAATAATTGACGAATCAGTGTTAATATACTCAGACTACGAGACAATGAAGTCTTGGTAAATCCTTAAACTCTATATTACTTCATGAATATGTAAGATAGTTTTCAATTTTTTTGACAAAATTTTTTATATTTGTTAATTGTTTATTTTCTATTTTTGTAGGTTAACATGGTTGATTATCAGATAGAAGTCAAACGTACATTTTATGAGATCAAGCTTTTCGCCATCTTTGTCATGAAAATGTTAGTAATTTTTTTTATTTCTCTAAATATAATTTTAATTTAGATGAATAATTTAATTGCTTAATAAACAAACAAATCATAATCAAGATCTTTTTTGTATGCCAACATATTATAGTTGTATGCAATGTTGTTACTTTCACTACTGCGAAGATATTTCATTGGTGTTTATATGAGCAATGAGTTCAATGACACATTTTTATTGATACATCAGATCCACAAAAATTTAACAAAAAAATATTGATAACTTTTCTCAGCTTCATGATTAATAGTAATTTCTAAAGTAGAAGAAATATGACTCATATTTATATGGCATTTTTCACTAATCATGTATTCTTTTTATCCAGTGTTTTGGATTTGCAGAAATTCTAGACTCCCATTGCTTTAGTTAATATTATAAGCCACAATTCTTGAATATTGGAAAAATTGATTGATTTTGAGGAAAAAAATATGGATAAAAGGGAGTAGGATTTGAAGCATATGACGCAGAAGTATTCATTTGGATTGACATTTTTATTGGTTTGGATGTATTGATTAGAGAAATGTTGTTCTATTTTTAGTTGTTCTATTAGGAAATATAGTTTGGCTTTCCTTTCAAACCAGCAATTTGTAATTTATAAATTTTATATTGTCTTGCATTCAAAGTCTTCTTGTGGACAAAAAGTACATTTTTATATTTGTATAAAAATTGTTGTAAAATCTATGATTTTAATCTCAATATATATTTGTCATTGTAATCTAAAGTTGCTGTCATGATAACCTCAATATATATGGCTCATAATCTCGAAAATGTGTATTATATCCCTATAAACGTGAATTTTTTTAAAAAAAGATTTATTGACTAAGAATAAAATATAAAATATATACTTATTAATTATTTTGATACTTTTGTTGCCAATATTTTAGTTGTTATTAATTTTTAAAATTTTAAATATTTGAACAACAAATTTGTAATGGTCAATAATTAAGTTTACTCGCATATAGTGCCTTCAATATTATTTAAATACTCATTGTTTTCCTAATTTTCAGCCTAAAATAACTAAGCATTAAATGAAAAGAAATTATGTGATTGCAATTTTTATTATTTTCAATTATTTTAAAATATATTTAAATTTGATTATCTATGATAACTCCTGAAAAAGATATACAAATTTGCTTAGAAAATTATCTACTGATCAAAAATAAATTATATCTTATTAAGTTAGTTTCCATGTTTTATGTTGTAAGTTGATTGTTTCTCTCTAATTTTTGGTGGAAATTGTTTAATAGTATAAAATACTTTCAGAATACATGGAATACATATAGAAATACATACAGAATACATGGAACACATATATAAAAATACATTCAAAATACTAGCTATTTATTTTATAAAGTTCTCAACCGATCCTAAAGGCGGATAGGTGGTTGGTCTGCACGCATGTGCGGACGAACCACCTAGACATACTTAAGATTTCTAGGAAGGAATAGGATGAATGACTTGGATCGGATCACCAAAGAGGCGACTAGATGATAAATGATGGAGAAGTTGATTATCCATACTATAGCTTATATAATAATTATATCAAAGAAGGAAGACTAATAAACACGTATTAAAAATGACTAATCTTTTATCTCAGAAAATGACACATGTTTAAGATAACGACGACTTGTAATACATCAATTGACTGACGAAAAGTGAAAACAATGACCGTAGGTATCCAAATCATAATGGTTTTTGGTGTCTATTTTAAAGGAATATAATAGAAGCAAAGACAAAGTCGAAAAGAAAATTGAAAGTTTTTAAGGAAGTATTTAATTGTTTAAAAGATGAGAAAGGAAGAGATCCTTTAGTTGTTGTTGCGCATATTCTTCAATTTCCTGTCGCAAGCATCTCGCTCTCTCCTCCAATGATCTATTTGAGTGGGGGTTCGAGCATTGAGTTTAATAGAGGTAGTCAATACCTCGTAACGCTGCAAAAAAAAAATTTGAGAACAAATAATCACTAAATGAAACATAATGAAAATATTGACATCTAAATCAAACTCCAAATTTTAACCCAATAAAAAATAATAATAAATTACAAACACCTTTCGTTTACGGTTGTAGTTGTATCTCTGTGCTCCTTTCCCAATGTTATTAATTGTTTTTTGGAGATTAGATTCAGCTCTCCTTAGAGCCTGTAAAAAGAAAATTAAAAAATTAGATGAATAATTCTGATGCTTGCATGGCAAGTTAATGATTTTTATCTAAATTTACTATGTTACACTAACCACAATTTTCTCTGCCTCATCAACAATTATGTTAACGTTTGCTAAACCGTGGACTCCATCATGATTTTCACGTAATTGATTCTTCAGCTCCTTGTAGGTATTTATACCTAATGCTAGAAGGTTTGCGACTTGTGCACGTTCGATTTGACCATGAGAGACCACTGTCCACAACGAGTATAAAATCTAAACGGTAAAAAAGCAAACCCATACTAGAAATGAAATCAGCAATAAGTTGATCCATGAGATAAGGAGTATTCCATTTGAGTTTTCTTATCTTAAAGAAGAAAATCCAGAATTAATTTGATACTTAAATATAACTTACAATTTTCCGTTGCTTCGAACAGAGGATCACCAGCAATGAGTTGTTGCCAATGTTCTGCTTCTTCAACGCTATGGAAAAAAAAAAAATCGAGATGAGGAAAACGCAAACAATCAGAAGTATATGGAAATGGAAAATGAGAGAGGGGGAGAGAGAGAGAGAGATCAAATACTTGACAGCTTGCTCATGAGCTTCTTCATTGGGAGCCTCGTTTAGAGCCATTATGTTCTCAGCTGCCTCCCAGATTTTGCCAACTTTGGCCTTTGTTAAACCAGTGATTCCAGGGAGGCTCTGCATCAAGTAAAACAATAGATTCATCCAACCAAAATCTAGGCAATGTAAACCCAGTGAACGATGCTAAACAAACCAATATGTACCTTCTTGGTATGCATCATCAGATCATTGCAGGTATGTATCCCAGCATCTTGTAGTTTTTTCACATCTCCAGCGTTTATACCTTGACCGATTACTGGCACAAGAAAATAGAAATAACGAGATGAAACTAACAAGAGGTTTATGCCTATAGGACTCGATCGGTACCAAATACAGAGGAATCTCGCGAAGATACTTGACCATAAGCTATGAGAATAGATTCAGAACATAGAAGTCGAAATGTATCCTAGATTTATACCTTGACCGATTACTGTCACAAGAAAATAGTAATCACGAGATGAAACTAACAAGAGGTTTATGCCTATAGAACTCGATCGGTACCAAATACAGTGGAATCTCGCGAAGATACTTGACCATAAGCTATTCGAATAGATTTAGAACATAGAAGTCGAAATGTATCCTAGATTCATACTTAAAAATTGAAATCAAGTAGATATTTCGGGAATATGTTGCAAAACAGAGGTACGATTCGAGATCTGAGTCGTAAGACCCAGAAATTCAGCAGAAACAAGTCTAAATCAACTAAAATGGAAGAGATTCCCAAACACAAACATGAAGAATTCGAATGATATCTGAAGAAGCGTCGGGAGAAATTTGAAGCAAAATCGAGCAGAAATAGAAACAGAACAATCACACAGGCGAAATCTGAAAGCGGAAATTGATTTCATCTTACAGTTTTCCATCGCTTCAACGAACTGCATCTGGTTTGCCTCTTCAGCTCTATGATTCGAAACAGAAGATCATCGGAAACAAAAGAAACGAGAAGAGATTTAGATTCTCAGATGCTCGAAGCTTAAGACGAAGCGAAGCGAAAACGAAGGAAGAAGGAAGATTCATAGTAGACAGAGATCAATAACTTACGCTGCCATTGTTCTTGCTCTGTGAATCTAAGCTTCAAACGAGAGAGAGTGAGAGAAACAGAGAGAGAGAGGTTTTAAAAGTTGAAATGGGAGATAATGGGTGAATTTTCTCGGAGGATCCAGGGGTTTTATACGGCAGGAACCGGAATCGAAGACTTCCTCAAAATTCCGTTGAGTCGAATATTAATTTGAAATCCGCGTTAACGGAATTTGTTTGTTCTCTCTGGGCACTGTTTTATTCAGTTGGAGTGGGCATAGCTATTAATTAATTAATGAACAATCTTAGCAGAGAGAGAGAGAGAGCAAGAGTTAGAGAGCGAGTGAGCGAGGATTTAAATCTCAAAACAAAAATTAATAAGCTAGTCATATAGGGAAAAAAAATCGTAATTATTAAAGTTAATCAATTTGAACTTTATGAATTTTGAACTTCTTCCAGAACATGAAATTACAGCAGCTACATAATCAAATACTTGTTCTGAAAATGTCAAATAATTTTCTGTTCAATATTTGTTGCAAATACTATCGGGTTTTACAAAAGTTCATAGTTATATTACAGTATGGTTGTAGTATAAGCTTGTGTTAGTTGTTATGTACATGTACAATATGTGCTTCTTACTGTTCTGATTTACATTTTTTTTTACGTCTTTTAATTTTATAATAACGTAGGAGTATATGAATATGAATACAATTTTGTCTTCTAAATTGTATATCCCTCATTTTGTTGGTTAAAAGTTAAAACAGCTATATGTTTGACTCTTTAAAATCAAATTACTAAAAAAACATTAATGAGAGAAAGAAACAAATTTGAGAGAGAAATTTTGATGAAAGAAATCGCGCCAACCAAAAAAAAGTTCCTCACTCTCCAGTGGCGGGAATTCGAACCTTGTGAGTTGTGAATCATTGATCATGCCACGTCACCACACTAATCGAAGGTCACAGAGAGCTCTGTTGATATTTACACGCCACGTCACCACCTTCTCTTTAATTACCTACGCTGTAAAATCTTTTCTTTTTTCTCCCTTTGTCTTAGTAATCTTTTTATTTATATTTTTAATTCCAAATCTTGCATCTTTCTATAGCTAATTTTGTCAAACAATCACAGATTTTAAAAACTAAAAGTAATAGTCTAAAACTAAAGCAACATTGTACACCTATTTTTCGATTTTGTATGCCCAATTTATATATCACATTCTCTTAATGATAAGGGAAAGAAAGTTTAAAATTATGGAAACTCTCTATTGTACGACTGTTAAATTTTTAGTTTTTTACTATATTGATAGTCACACGTGTATTCACGCCGATAATTCAGTTGTATTGACATTTTTGTTTTCTAGTTTTAGTAAATCGCGAAATTACGAATTTGCCCTCATCTTCTTCTTTTTCTTTGCGACAGTCAAAGCCTTGATTCCGACGCTCTCCTTCTTTTGCCACCATTGTTGTCGAGTTTACTTAATTTTCTTGTGGATTTCGTTCGATTAGGATATATAATTTCGAACCCAACATCTAATTTCGAACTTATCTCGGGCTATGAACACTGCTGCAACAGAATAGCATCCACCTTTCGTTTCAATCATAACTAGAGATGGTGAAAAAAATTATGGAAGCTATCTCTATTGTGTAAGACTGTTAAATTTTTCACTTTATTGATCGTCACACCTCTATTCTTCACGCGTTCGTACGGGGTGAGCATTGACTTGCTGAAGAAGTATCTTCATTGGGCTCATCTCGTGCTCTTGTTGATAACTTATTTATGGGCTTTAGGCCCATGTTATTCTTCTTCGAATTTTGAAAACCTCCGAATGAGCAAGTGACTCTCGTGGTCCCTTTGTTATGTTGCCCTGTTTTGGTCAAAGAAGTTTCACTCGATTTGTTATCTTGCTTGTCTATGAGTTCTGCTTCTGCCGTGATAGTTTATATAGATTATTACGAAGATCTTCTTCCTCATCATCTTATGGGAAAATATAATTATAATTTGATCGAGTTACTGATTTCTTACTTCATTACTCCTTAGAAGCTATTGCACACTTACATGTACGTATAATAACGACAAAGGTCAAAGAATCATTAAAAAATAACGTACTATTAGATTATAATGTTGATCTTTATTACATATATGTCAGAGTTTGCAAAATATTGCGAACCACAAAGTAAAAAGGAAAATTAGTAAAACGAATAATGGATCAGAAAATGGTGTAACAGACTAAAAGATTGAAAGTAATTAGAGTCTTACAAATTCTTGATGAAACTATCAGATTGGAGCTTGAGTATTTGTTTGATAAACGAGTCAGAGCAAGATCTAGATGTAGAATTCTATTTGAATCGGTTAGTATAAAAACAAAAAAAAACAATCAAAATCAATAGACCTATAAAACCGTAAGGCAAAACCATAAAATCTTAAACATGAACAAGACTTGGAATATCAGCTAGATAATGCATAGATTAGTGTGAAATTTACAAGTCACACGTGCTTGGTGTTTTCCTTTTGCGTCCTCCACCTTGTTGGATCTGAGCCAAACTTGGAACATAATTCAGAAGAACTGAGCAAGATGATGATGTGCATGTAGAATCTCCACCAAGAGTATCGCCCTCAATTTGTGTGTATGTGTATTTGTCTTTGCACACGATATGTAAGATGTTGTTGTCTCCCAAATACATTACAACTTCGTTCTGTTCGTCTACCAAAAAACTCATCCCATTAGGATACTTTTTACCTCTATAAAAACCCACTCCTAGGGACTTTCTCCATGACCCAACTGATCCGGTATTATTTGCCACCCATACTTGGAAATCATTGACTTCGAGAGTTCCAGTAATCCAAAATTTGCAAGCAGTACATAATAGAAAAAGATGCTTTTCTCCAACCACTGATAAAGCCGCAATCGAATAAGGAAACGGATGAGAAAGAGGAAGAGACAGGCTTTGAAATCTCTCAGTTGAAAAATCAAAACTTAGTAAAAACTCAACATGTGGCGTCTCTACTTGAGTAGAACCCCAATAAGTAATTCCCTTCACAGATATGCCACGACGATATTCTCCTAAAAACCAATCAGTAGCCACACCAACAACTCTCCACGAATTAGAGGTGAAGTCATAAATCTCGTACTCGTTCTTGATTTGTATATCTTGACGATCCACCCTCAAGATTTTGTATTGTTTGCACAAAGAATTTTGTTCGTAACCGAGAGCATAGTAGTCGGATTCCTTGTAGCTGACTCTAGGTTTAGCCCACTTGGTTTCCCCTGAACATGGATTCCAAACCGCAAGTCTACTGTCCTTGGTGGTGCATAGCAATAAACCGTCGCAGTGAAAGACTTCACGTATATTCACTTGTGAAGAATTAGAAAAGGGAACTTTTAGGTATAATTGAGATGCAACCTTAGCAGATGGAGAAAACTTGTTGTCGTGATCTCCACGGAGATCGATCCTCACTAAGCAAACCCTAGAATGAATTAAACTTATAACCAGAGACTCTTCCTTTGGTGCTTTAGCAGAGTGTATCTTAGCAAAGCTCCAATATTTCAATAGAGCGTTCCATTGTTTCGATGTTGAACGCAATCGTGCTACAGTTTTAGCCGGAAACCTAGCGAGTATCTCTTCTGCCACATCCACCGGAAGGCTTCTCCAGTACTCCATAACTACTGTGTGATTCAATAACTTTGGGAGAGATCGATGGAGAGAAATCGAACAGCCGAGAAAGACCTAATTTCCAAATTATATACAATATACATTATGTATATCGATTTCCTACTTTGAAAATTGAGCAAAGAAATACAATTTATATTTGCACTAAAAGCATCTCCAAAAGATACCTTATAACTTCAAATATAAGGTTTTATGTCCTTCAAGAGATACCTTAAAATTTTAAATTTTGAGGTATTGAACAGTGACACCTTATATTTGAGGTATCACTGTTCAATACCTCAAATTTGAGGTATCATTTTTTTATTTGCATTTCAGTCCTTTCAATTATATGCTTTAAAATTAATCATAATAACTTTTGTTTTTATCATTTCAACTCTCCTAATGTAATATCTTAATAATATTTCTTCATTTTTATTTTTATAAATAAATTATATATATACATATAAAAATTTTAAAAAATAATTTAAAATAAAAATAATAATGACAAATAGTAAAATAATACATAACATTAAAAAATAAATACATAACAACAATATTACATAAAGCAAATTTCATACAAACTAAAATAACACAAAAAATAAACTTACATGAACATATAAATATTACACAAATAAAAATACTACAACAAAAAAATAAACTTATATGAACATATAAAGATGTTGAACGTGCATTTGGAGTTCTACAATCTAAGTTTGCTATCATAGCAGAATCATCACGTTGTTGGAAGAAAGAGATATTACATGATATAATGACAGCATGCATTATAATGCATAACATGATAATTGAGGATGAACGTGATGTCAACGTTCCGATTAGAGACGCAAGATCAATGCCAGAGGCAATAGTTGAGATGGCAATAAATGAACATACTCGATTTCAACAATTTTTAGTTCGTAATCTGCAGATTAAAAATAAAAAAACTCATTTATCACTTTGAAATGCTTTGATTGATCATATATGGGAGCATTATGGTAGTAGTTTTATTGAATAAATTGATATTTTGTTTGTAATTTATGATTAGTTTGTGTATTTTATTATCATTTATATATAATGTTAAATTAAAGTTGTATTAATTAATATTGCAATAATATTTTTAATATATATTTTTATAGTTATTTATCAAAGTTTTATGATATTAGTTAATTAATTATAAATAGTAAGGACTAAAGTGCAAAGTATAATATTTTTAAGGTATCATTTTAAGGTTTATCATTGGAGAGCATCACCCTCAAACCTCAAATATAAGGTTTCTCACACCTTAAAAATACAGTATCTCTTGGAGATGTTCTAATAAGTTTATCTGATCGTTTACAGCTAACGCGTGTATTCACGCTTTCGTACGGGTGAGCATGGCTTGCTGAAGAAGTAACTTCGTTGGGCTTATCTCGTGATCTTGTTGATGACTTAGTTATGGGCTTTGGGCCAATGTTATTCTTCTTCGAATTGAAAGCATCTGAATGAGCGAGAGACTCTTGTGGTCTTTTGTTATGTTGCCCCGTTTTGGTCGAAGAAGCTTCACTCGATTTTATTTTGCTAGTCTATGAGTTTTGCTTCTGCCGATTACTTTATTTAGATGAAGAAGATCTTCTTCCTCATCAACTTATGGGAAAATATAAATATAGTAGATCGAGTAAGTGATTTCTTACTTCATTACTCCTTAGAAGCTATTGCACATCTACATGTAAAATAACGACTAAGGTCAAAGAATCAGAAAAAAAAAGACGTAGTATTAGATTTTATAATGTTGATCATTATTACATAAATGCCCGATTTTGCAAATATTGCGAACCACAAAGTAAAAAGAAAAATTTGTAAAACTATTTATTGAACGGAAAACGATATCTTTTAGTGGAGGTTGAAGAGGCTAAAAGACTGACAAAGTAATTAGAGGCTTACGAGTTCTTGATGAAACTATCAAATTGGAGCTTGAGAATTTGTTTGATTAACGAGTCAGAGCAAGATCTAGATGTAGAACTCCATTTGGGTTTTGCTTAGATGGTAAATCTATATATAACTTTATCCATATATTGAAGATACTAAGTTCACACTAAATATCTACATATAAATAACTCCGTTGAAAAAACTGATCATAAACCCAACAAAAACAATTTTTTTCAATAAAGCAAAAGTAAAACATTTTTTTTTGTGAAACTGGTTATAATCCGAATCAAACTATACAATTCCTTATGAAGAAAAGATATGCCTCGGAAACTACACTAAGTCCCTAATTAAGAAATCTTTAATGTTAATCAAAACACTAACATCATTACTATAACAAAGTGAATAACCCTTAGTTGGTTTTTAACCGGTAATTAGGGGTTTATTATTCTTAGCATTATAAGCAGTGTTTTCAGTTTTCACATATGTATTTTTTTTTTTATAACTGAAAGTATTATATTCATCCATCACTTGAATGACGTCATTATAAACAGCAGAATTAAAGTACAAGATTTCGAAACAGATGTGAAACAAAATTTAAAGACCTAGAATTGGATGTAGGGAAGAATCAAGATGACCATTGTATGAATCTGTACCAAGATGACAGTTAGAAGCAAAGCATGTTAGGTTGTGAACTTTTTCATTGTCCATTGCCGATAACTTTGCCCTGATGACAAGTTGAATTTCATATACTAATGAAGTGGTCGAGTTTAGCAAAGCGTGTGGAGACGAGAATTTCTTCTCTTCACAAGAAATAAGCAACAGCATCTAGATGCTCTTGCAAATACTTTTGAGGTAATGAATATCAAGGTTTTGTAATTAATGTCAAATATTGTCTGTTAAATTAGTTGCAAATATTACATTTTTATAAAAGTTCGATGATCTGTTTGGTCTATATAAATTTATAGAAACATGATTCCAATAAATTGATTTTAAGAAATTATTAGTATTCACTAATAGTCCTAGAGAAACTGAAATAAAGACATCCCATAAAAGGGAGAAACATGAAATAATAAAAGGAGATGGGGAAAACGAAGTAGAAATGATAAACTTTAGGTAAACACTAAAAAAAAAAAATCAATTTTGTTGTCTGTCAAGTATCATAAATTTTGTAGACTATCGAGAAGTTTACAACAAAATAATCATGAACATAAAATGTCAACAAATCAAAAAAGGGAAATTCGGTTCATTTATTTAGGTTTGGTTTTAATTACTTATTTTTTAGGACATATAAAAGCAAAACCTCAATTATTATATATAAATCCATGTTTTTATTTCAGTCGACAAAAAAAAAATCCATGTTTTTATTTCTTTATGTTTTGGTTATAAAATCAGCTTGATACTCCTATAAGTCTTATTCGGTTCCATTTCGACCATTATTTGCTGGTATGACCTTTCTAATTTTATAGTTCTATTTGATGTCTTTAGGTTTCAACCGAACCCAAAAAGGAACAAGAAAATATTTTTATATATAAAAAATAACCTTGACGTGAACTGTGACTGCCAATCACAATCTTTACCATGAAAGCCAACAATAATGTGGAAAATGATAAAAACAAAACCTTCACAATTTCGTAAGAATTTAAACAATAAAGAGTGTCTATCAATAAAGTATATAGAAAATTAGTGATGATGTGAAAAAACGTAGGGAAGGGGCTAATGCAATAAACAATAAAGGGAGGAACTACTGCGAGTAAACTCTGCAACTTCGATCAAGTAAGCTATAAGTAAATCGAGGCCCTTTATTCACAAATGGTAAACAAATGAAAAATAATTATATAAAAAAAAGAGGCCACTAGACTTTTTAGACTTTCTCTTTCAGCCGTTGGATGTGTCCTTTCGATGATGAGATATATCTTCTTCTAATTTTGGCAGAATCTTTTGTCTAATTCCAATCTCTCTGTCCTAAAATTTCCCCTCTTTTTCACTTCATTCACCAGGTAACAGATCATATCGGATTTATATACCTTTAAATAATAAAAATAAAAAATAGTGAACCCAAAATATATTGGAAATAAACGGTGAATCTTCTTAAACTTTTTAAAATTGGTGCAATAAATTTTTCTTAATTGGATACTGACAAAAAAAACTCATGCAAAATTAAAATTCAGTAATCAGGCATTTTCATCATTTTTTTTCCTTTTCAAGGAAGACTGGTGGTACATCTTTTTTTTTCAATGTATAATAGTAAGTTTATTTTATTTTATTATCATCTAGTTTATTCCCTTTGTTCTAGTGGTTGTTACCTTGAATGAAATTATACTAATTGACAAATTATAGCAAATGTATAATGTTATCTATCAATTCAACCGAATGTAAATTTTCATCAGTTTAAAATTAGAAAATATTTTGGATAGAAAAACTATTAACTATCATTAGCATACTATACTAATCACACACATACACATGCACTCACTATCTCTTTCAAACAGATAGATAACACATGTGAATTACTTGGATATAGAATACTGAGTTGTGTGACATTGTGTCAATCATGAGAACGATATTATTTTTGTGCGGTTGTAAATTCATAAACTTAAGGATTTTACTAACAAAACAAAAAAATTCATAAACTTAAGGATGTTGACAAAAGAAACTGACCTTAAGGAAACAACAGTAATTTAATTAGAGTCAGATGACCATAAGAAGTCCATTGGTTAATTCCGTGATACTTTTGAGTCTAATCATTCTACATGAATATGATATGATATAGTAACTTTATTCATTAGATACTCTTCCTCCTGACCGGAATAACTAATCAAGGCACTTTTCCTAGGAGGTCAGAATTTTGAATTTGGTTTTCAGTTTATCCGGTCAAATATTTATTTTGTCTTAAGTAGCATGCATGCATATATCGACGATAAAAATAAGATTTTATTAGATCTCTGAGTAGGATTTTTTTTTCTTTTTTGTCTTTCAAGGAACATTTTTCATTTTTTTTTTTTTCAATCGGTGAAATGTAATAACATGTAACAAAAGTTGGATTTCAACGAGAGGATTAAAAGGAGTGAGATGGCTAGATAATATCTCGTGTTTCGACAAATGTGAAATGTGTTCATATTGGGTGGATATATATGAAGCAGTTGGATGTGTAATAAATGAGACTTTCCTAGTTGGTGAATGTTTGAGCTTTGTGATTGTACGGTTCCTCCAAAGTATTTGCATTGTGTGGCCTTTGAACCATTCCCACTTGTAATTTGTAAATCCATTTTATCTAAAGGGTCCAGTAACATGATCAAACATTTTACGAGATTACTCATTACTCATTCAGTAAACCATAAACCATTTTAGATCCAGTTTAGTCTATATGTCGAACTCACAATCAAGTATTAAAAATCATGTGTTGAGATTAAAGGAACACGAATGCAAATTCACTTTCTGTATGTTAAAAATCAGTCGTACATATCAGAAAAATAAAAAATATCCAAATTTGGGTTGATTTGATAATCAAACAACATGCTGATGAAAGTTTATATTACTCCGACCATAGTTTTAACTAGGTCATATATATCATGATCAGAAAAAAAAAAATCAATAGTTTACTTCTTGCCCCTCCGACGAAAAAAATAAATAAAATCGACGTAAGATATGATAAAATTCACCTTAAGTAGTGTGTAGTCAATGTAAATATGCGGGATCATTAAAATGGAATTGGATGACCATTTTAAGTTGAAAATTGCAAATTAAAAAAAAATGTACTCGTCAATGTAAATTTTCCCTTTAAATTCTAAGGGACTAATGTAACACAAGATTGAGTTGACTCGGGTTGGATATTACAAAACAAATCTCTTTAAAAAAAGTAATCATCGATATTTACCAAAACTAAAGATGAAATGATGTGAAGTAAGGGGTTACAGTTTGAGCAAACACAACACATGTTGAAAGGAATTGATCCAGAACTCATGGTGATATATTAACTATATATAACAAAAGAAAGAGACAATGTATGCAATAACATTAAATAAAATTTTGGTGGAAAGGCATAAAGACCTAAGTCTAATAATAATGTGCGTCGTTGTCTTAGATTTGCTAACAAACAAATGTCAAGATATGGCTCACGAGAAAAGCTTTAGCGAGGATTATTATAAAGATGAGAAATTATAGAGGAAATAAATATAATAAAATTGGGAGAAAGGAACATCCACTTTTCCAGTTTTGGTATAAAGCTTTTGATATAATATGTCCTTTGCTCGCCGAGGTTTTCCTTATATATACATTTCCCATCTCTCACATATTCACCCATCACTCTTTTCTCTACTTTTAAAAAAAAATAAAACATTTATTACTAGTTAGAAAGAAAATTATGATATATAAGAAGTGTTTAAAAAAAAAGTGTTTATTTTCATGACTGCTGCTGTGAAATTTTAAAATAGATTTTCTGTTAATTTGTTGCAAATTAATTCCCAAAATTTTAAAATCTGTTATTTCATCATGCATGTTTTGGCCGACCAAAAGCCGGTACTTATTTGATGTATATAGTTTAGTCGTTACAGAATTTATATAAATTTATAGTGTTTAGTTTTGAAAACATGATTACAAAATACGTTCACTTTTTAGTGTTTAGTAAAGTTAAATCCTATCACTCATTTATACTTCTTTTTCCCATCCCCCTCCATTATTTCTCTTTTTCCACTTTTTCAAGAAAAACATGTTTTGCGTTGAGATTTTTTATAATGGACTTTCTTTTTCCTCTTGTGACAATTATTTAGAGTCCTCTAAAACAGAATTCTCTAGGGTGTCTTTAGTCTTATCTATGCATTGTTACGAACTTTAGCTGATCTATTTAAACTTTTTTTTCCTTCACACAAATTTGCTTTCTTACTGTGTCTCTAAAAATTTGTTTTGTAAATAAAATTAAGGAAGATGATTTGCATAGCATAAAAATCAATGAATGACTTTCAAGCAAAAATTTCTCGTTGATTTTCACGAAATCGGAAATTTTAAAGATGTGTTATCATTTAATGAAAGTAACGTCTAATATAGATGTAGGTAATAAACTTGTATCATCTCCATTTATCAAATCATGGAGAAGTCCCCTACTTAAATAAGGTTTCTTTCTTTTTCCTCTTAATTTTCATTTTATTAAATCTGAGATGGGGCTTTGATAATGCGTCCAAGAATCAGTCTCTTTCACAGTCTTAACACCAAAGAGCCCCAACCCTATCATCACACACATTTTTCTCTCTCTCTCTCTCTCCCTTTGTCATCTCTCTATTTCTCTCTCTCTCTCCCTTTGTCATCTCTCTATTTCTCTCTCTCTCTTAAGAGACAGACAGACACAGATCTTAGATTTTTCCCAGGGGAAAAAAGTGAGTTCATCTTTTCAGATCTTACAAACACTTTGCTTTTATAAACTGATGTGCCGCAAATCATTGCTAGTACTCTCTTAATTAGCTTCAGACTTTTTGATCTAAGCAATTAGCCGAAAAGAAAGAGTTCACATATGGAGAGATCAAACAACATAGAGTTGAGGAACAACTTCTATGGCCGTTCAAGAACTTCAACATGGAGCTATGGAGATTATGATAATTACCAACAGGATCATGAGTATCTTCTAGGGTTTTCGTGGCCACCAAGATCCTACACTTGCAGCTTCTGCAAAAGAGAATTTAGATCAGCTCAAGCACTTGGTGGCCACATGAATGTTCACAGAAGAGACAGAGCCAGACTCAGATTACAACAGTCTTCATCATCTTCTTCAACACCTTCTCCCCCTTACCCTAACCCTAATTACTCCTACTCTTCCATGGCTACCTCTCCCACTCCTCCTCTCACCCTATTTCCAACCGTTTCTCCTCCTTCCTCACCAGGTTATAGGTCATGTTTGGCCCGTTCCTTGAGCCCTAAGTCTAAACATCTACCAGAAAACTCATGTGAGACTATGAAGCCATATCTTGTAGTCGAGGCTGAGGAGGCTAAAAGGTTGAGTAAGAAAGATGCTTGCAAGTTCTCGAAGAATGGTGAATTCATCAGCTTGGACCTCGAGATTGGTTTGATCAACGAGTCCGAGGAAGATCTAGATCTAGAGCTCCGTTTGGGTTTTGCTTAGATGGTAAAGCTTTATAAAACTTTATGGATCCATAAAGGATTATAGGTTCACATTAGATTACTATATAAGACCTGCAGCCTTTCTAAGGGTTAATTAGTTCCGTCTACATAAGCCTCTCTAAGATTGTTAATTAGTATAACTTTATCGTTAATGATATGACTATAGTACAAGCTATAAGATTGCGTTAGATGTCTAATATGTATGTTCTTACTACTGTTTTATATATGACAATGGATACAATTTTGTCTCCTAATTCATTATTACCTCGTATGAGATTTTCTATATATTCTAGTCTCTCCGATTTTTGTAAGTTGATGCTATTCTAGTGTATCTGTTTAATGTAAATTGATGTGTTAGACTTTTTGTCATATAAAGATTAAGGTTTTCATTGTTTTCCTGCAAATTTAATGTATAATTCTTAATGCACCCCACTATGACTTTTTTTTGTCAACCCCCTGTATCTTTTTGATGTTATTTAGATATAATGCACACTTTTCAACAATAAAGTACTTAGCAAGATATATCAGATATTTTAATAATTGTGTGAAAAACTCCAAAACATCAAATATTATGAAAGGGATCGAATATTTTTAGCCGAAACTTGGTTGATTTTATTTGTAAGATTTTATTTCTTAAACTTTCATAGCTAATTATAAGGTAGAGGCACTTGAAGGTTAACTTAAAAAAAAAAGGTCGAGGCACATGAAGGTCGACCCTAGCTAGACAAGGGCATATGGAAATATACATCCACATCAATTACTTCTACCTTGGAACCATAATTAGTTTGAAAACCTTACAATCGAACGTTATGAAGTTCTGCTGATCATTTCCTCAAGCAAATTGGACCTCGTCCTTCGAACTAACACATCTATTAGGTAACAATTACCCGTCATGGGCTAGTGTGGTTAATTTCGTTGAACGTAGTTGTTCATTGGTTTGTCGTTCATCTTGGTTAGGTGCCTAGGGCTTCAACATTCTTTTTTTTTCTTTTCTTTTCGTGTTAATAACTTAATATAGACACTATTTTAATATAATATAATGTTATCTATAGTAAGTAACTCTATGTCTCATTTGATTGTTATGAAATTTCACGTGTCATTAACTAATTTGTGAGTATGAGAATCTTGTTTTTCTTGCCTTTACATGTTAACATGCAGGCCTGTTAACATGTATATTCAGATTGGAAAAAATAAAGTATTTAAGTAATTTATAAAAAAATATTATTTGCTAATTTTCAATTCGAAGTTACAAACTTAAGACAGAGATAATTTCCTTTTTGCGTTTTACGTTTCCATTAAATTTAAGAACCGAGTTTCAATTAACAGCAATCGCACTAATAGATTGTAATTTTTATTGTTAATCAAAGATTGTAGTTTATCTAATAAATATGTCATTTTGATGTTACAAAAATAGTTAATTTTATTTAGAAATAAAGTTGTCATTTTGTTGAGATAAATAAATATATATATAAAAATACAAGCGTAAGAATTGACCAAAAAATAATGCAAAAACGTAGTAAAAACAGTCAATGTCTATATATATATATATATATATTTTTTTTTTTTTTGTCAACTCAAGGGTCTATTGTTTGTGAATAAGATAAGAGTGCTTTCATGAGTTTCTTCAAATTCCAAACGACGATGAGTAAAGTTTTCTTGACCCTCATAGTATTTTTGATTAGTTTTTACCTTATAATTGATGTTTTATTTATTCTTTCAAAATTGAATGGTTTGAATAGAAACTATGCCTTGACAAAGAAAAAGAATAGAAACTGTGTTTGCGTGTGATCTTGACTAATTGTACAAAAATATTATTTTTTGACTGAATCATTGCACTGAGGGTAACAAATCATTACTGAAAACAAGTCCCAAAGCAATTTCAGTTTCATGAGTGCAAAAACTGTAAACATGTCATAATTACTCGATCGCCATGTATATATATATTTCCTTGAACCTTTTTTCTTTGGTTTGAAAGAGTCAACACAAATACGTAGAATGATATAACATAGAATGATCATATATATAGATAGATACATAGATACACAAGACAAGCGTACGTATCTGACCATAGTTGGATTTGGACAAGAGGGTATATATGCTGGAGGTTTGGTATTCCCCAAAACCTGAGGGTTTGCATGTTCCCGACAATGTCTGGGTGTGGAATGGCATGATGAGCTTTCCTTTTATAGTAAGTTATGTTTCGGTCAGTTCTAAGCGTTACACATAACTAAACAGTACAAATCTCTCCACCAAATTACTTTTCTTGAAAAGCATTTAGTCTTGCCTACACCTTTTTTAACACACTCAAGCACGTACGTACCGGCCACTTCAAATGAATACACACCATTATTTATTTTTTATTACAATGACTTTCACAGTTTTACTTAATTTTTTCATCTAAGTGGACTCATCTCTTTGTTTCTTATAGCTAGTTGTCTATACACTTTTGTTTTATTATTGGGTATCTAATACATTCTTAAGAAATAATTAATAAACATGGTTATGCTATAACAAGATTCAAAAGAGTTAACCATTACGAACAAAAGTTACTGGTGTTACTGGTCATTAATTCCATTTAAATTTGCAAATCGTTAGCACAACTAAAGTCCAAATTTTCTTAATTTTTTTAGTATAAGAAAATATTTTATATAATATTCTACTCTCTGAATCCAGCCCGATTGAAAATACTTAGCAATTTTAACTATAAGAAAATAAAATATAATTTCAATAGGAAATGTTTTACAAACCGTCTTAAATTATTTGTATCTTATGTTCAATTTTTTTATTAAAACTATAATTAATATGGTAATATATAAATACATTTGATCTTAATTATAAGCCCCACATTTTCTATATAGTGAAAAAAATTGTAATAAAAAAAATCGATTTGACGCCGATGTTGCAAATTAATAATTTATAAAAAAAAATATTTGAGACAAAAGCAATATATTGGGATGAACTTAATAACATTCAGATGCAAGTAAAAAAATTTTCGTCACTAAAGCTATCCTTTGATTCTCCAAATTTTGTATCTGCCTTTAGCCTCTTTACAACCACATAAACCACTAAATACTAAGATAATATATCCTCCGTCTCTACGGACTCGATTGCTTCTATTAAAGCTTTATAGACTCCGTACACAATGGCAACTGATGTCAAAATCTCTTCATATAATGTATGCATGTGTGCATGTCAGTAATAAAGTCATGATTTCTAGTCATAAGTTTATACCATAGTGTGACATTGTACATTCAAGTAAATTAATATATAAATGAGCAGATACAAAAGAGGAGCCCAAAAGGGGCACTTAGGGTTGCAAGGCATCACATTGAATGACTTTGATGACGTCATAAGAAAATGAAAACACATAGAGAATTATAAAGACAAATAGGCAAAGGCGAGCTCCTCTTTGTTGTTATTTTTGTGAAAGTGGAGAGATACATGGGCACATAATAATATTAATAGCAAAGTTGTTGTTAATAATTTCATAGGAAGTAACAAGTTGAACAAAGTAACAAGTTAGGCGAATATCACATTCTATTTGGTCATCAAACACTCTCGCTCAGGTGAATAATCATGTATGTAATATGTATGTTCATTGCTTAATTGTCCTGGGTGTAAAACTGACTCATCATATGTTATATGGGTATATATAGTTGTCATACAGTTTACATCTCGGCAACTGCTATCCGAATATTGAAAGATAAAAAACTCTTAGAAGTAGAAATTTGACAATTGTGGGGATCTACAATAGTTGGTTTCCTCTCTCTGTTTTTAGGCGACGAATGGGCCCAAGGCAGTTCGGCCTTCCACTTTCATATTCCAAAAAAAAAAATTTGGTTTTTGGTTTTTTTTTTTATTTTGGATTTTTTTTTTTTCGTTTTTTGTGTTAAGAATGTAAATATTAATAATTTTGGTCATATATTAAAAAAAAAAACAAAAAAATGGAAGCAAAAACCAAGTTAAAAATTCATTCATCCACAGAACCTTAAACTTTTCAGCTCACAGTGTCCAATGTCTAAATAATAATATGATGTTCTTGAAAACCTGAGGTAAAGAAGAAGTCGAGATAATACCCGAACAGATAATAGTTTAAAAGATTAGCAAATATTTGTCTAGGTTACAGAAGCTCTTTAACTAGACAATTTCAAGAACTCATATATCAATTTTGAAGATGTAGTTTTTTTTCACTTTATTGACACAATATTTATCCCAAGAAGTTTTGACAAAATTTTTGTAAATCTAATGGTTTTTCCTTATAGTTGTGAAACTTATCGCACTTAATGAATTTCACAATCACTCGTTTAGATCGATTCAGATATAGAACGAGAAAGACTTGAAAGTAAACGACACAGGGATTTAACGAGTTTGGGGCATTAATGAGCACTCTACGTCTCGCCAGCGATACTTCACCAGAATCCACTATCACTTGAGCTCAATACAAGCTACAACAATGTCACTCTCTCTCTACAAGATTCTCACTTTCTCTCTCTGTTTACACACGACGACTCAAGAAAGAAGATGAGTCAACCAATAGTCATATAAGACCGATACAGACACGCTTACACATTTCACACACGTGACCAATGAGAGAGCTCCATTTAGTGGACTTAAACCGTACCGGATTGAATGCTTAATCCTCGGTTATCTCGAGTCAGCTCCTAGAAGACCTTCTTAATCACCTAGAGTCTTCGGCACACTTAGTCTTTACCGACTAGTGATCATGACTACTATTCCTTTAAATCTCCACCTGTAGCCATGATCAATATTCCTGGTGAAGTTCCTTGCATCCAAACTCGGACGCCTGCATTCTCTAGGAGAATGCTAGTCTCAGTTTCTTGAGACACGAAGCATCTTCAATGCTTCATGAACTTTGTTTACGGGCAATACCTTGGTGAAGATATCTGCAGGATTGTATGCTGTTGATATCTTCGATACTTGTATTTCCCCTTTGCTGATCAAGTCTCTTCCATAGTGATATCTCACATCCATGTGTTTAGTCCTCTCGCGATTCACTGCATTTTTGGACAATGCAATCGCGCTTTGAAAATCACAGAAGACTTCCACTGAATCTTGTTCAAATCCCAACTCAGTTGCAAAACTCTTT